AATAGAATAGAATAGAATAGAATAGAATAGAATAGAATAGAATAGAAAATAGAACAGAATAGAACAGAACAGAACAGAATAGGTTTATTGGCCAAGTGTGATTAGACACACAAGGAATTTGTCTTGGTGCAAATGCTCTCGGTGTACATAAAAGAAAGGATACATTTGTCAGAAATCGAGAATTATCAGGTACAACACAATGATAGTCATAGGGTACAATAAGAATAGAAATAGAACAAAAATACAAATAAAAATAGAATAGAATAGAACAGAACAGAACACAACAGAACAGAATAGAATAGGTTTATTGGCCAAGTGTAATTGGACACACATGGAATTTGACTTGGTGCAAATACTCTCAGTGTACATAAAAGAAAAGATACATTCGTCAAGAGTCAAGAATCATCAGGTACAACACTGAATGATAGTCATAGGGTACAAATACGCAATCAAATCATACTAGGAAACAGTCCATATAAATCGTAAAGATACGAGCGACAAACTTATAGTCATACAGTCACAAGTGGGAGGGGAGGGGCGATAAGGAGTGATGAGAAGATTAATAATAATAGTAGCGCAGACTTAGTAAATAGTTGGACAGTGTTGTGGGAATTATTTGTTTAGCAGCGTGATATTCGGGAAAAAACTGTCCTTGTGTCTAGTTGTTCTGGTGTGCGGTGCTCTATAGCGTCGTTTTGAGGGAAGGAGTTGAAATAGTTTATGTCCGGGATGTGAGGGGTCTGTAGATATTTTCACAGCCTCTTTTTTATTCATGCAGGATACAGGTCCTCAATTGAAGGCAGGTTGATAGTAATTGTTTTTTCTGCAGTCCTAATTATCCCTTGAAGTCTGTGTCTGTCCTGTTGGGTTGCAGAACCAAACCAGACAGTTTTTGAGGTGCAGATGATAGACTCAATAATTCCTCTGTAGAAGGTGTGACATTAGGGGTGACATGAGAGCAGTATTTCAGAAGATGGGGTCAAATTATTCCCCAAAGCCCCAGAGGGCAGGACAAGAAATAACGGATGGAAACTAGTCAAGGAGAGACGCAACCTGGAATTAAGGAGAAACTTCCTAACAGTGAGGACAATTAACCAGTGGAACAGCTTGCCACCAGAAGTTGTGGCTGCTTCCTCACTGGAGGTTTTTAAGAAGAGACTGGACAGCTATTTGTCTGAAATAGTATAGGTTCTTCTGCTTGAGTAGGGGGCTCAACTAGAAGACCTCCAAGGTCCCAACCAACTCTATTCTATTCTAAATGGAGTTCGGAGCCAATGACAGGGCAATGTGGACTTGGAAAAGACGTCCTCCCTCTCAACAAGAAATAAGGAGACAACCCATGTTTCAATTCTCTATTTCTTTCCTCTAAATGCTAGTGAGGAGGAAGAGGAAGGAGGAGGAAGAGGAGGAAAGGAAAGGAGCAAGAAAAAACTATCTCCCCAGGGAGGAAAGGAGGACTCGACCTCCTCCTCATCCGAAGAGGACAGCTTGTCTGAAAGTAGCTCAACCGAATCGGAGTCCGAGTCCGAACCAGAGGAGTCCAAGAAGAAAAAGCTGGTAAGGGGTGAGAAGGGTGGGCGTGGATGGAAAACGTGGGCACCAGGTTCATGCAAGGGCAGTTTGGCCTGGTGGGGAAGACCTTAAGCTGGAAACCAGGAGACGGTGAGTTCTAGTCCTGCCTTAGGCATGAGAGTCGGCTGGATGACTTTTAGCTAAACACCAAGAGAAAGCGAGTTCTAACACACCTTAGGCATGAAAGCTGGATGGGTGACTTTGGGCCAATCACCAGGAGACGGTGAGTT